GATTAAACCAGTTCATTTTTCCTCGATACAAACTTTTATTACACAGTAATTCCTCAGTCAATACGTTTCTCGTCACTTCAAACTTAACAAGTTTTATAATACACGCTATAAATCACAGTGATTCACAGTCTCGATAACTTCGCTCTCGACGAGTACAAACAAACACTTTATATTACCGTAACTACTGTTCGCTTCTTTAATTATCTAGCTATCGCTGGCTTCTCTGCCAGGCTTATATACTAACGAAGGGGGTGTCTCGAATACAACTCGGGCCTCCCCGATCATTCATGATCATTCGAGAAATTTCACTCACGCAACCAGCGCCAAACGCACCAGCAGCGTCACGTGACTTCCGCTGTCGTAACAATATTTATAATAGTGTACAAAATATGAAACGGTTATGAGTATTCAGTAAATCTATGTTCATGAAAGCAATATAGGTTCAGAGAATATTTTTTTTTGTGAATCCAGAAAGTTTTATTGCCTTCTTGATGCTTTTTGGATGTAACCGATCTAACCTCAATTATTTTTAAACTCTTTATTCAGAAAACGTAATCTATGCCCATTGTAAAGCACTTCGTCATTTGCTTGTGGTAGATAGAAAATTACGGAGCTTTACTGTATCTGTAATAATAGAAACGGCAGAAACGTTTCTTTGACGCTTGATCTACCTCATCGCTGGAAAACTGGCCATATAAACTGACTGGTTGAAAGAGAAAAACAACAACAAAGAAAGCATTGTTCGTCACAAAACCTAATCCCAGTAGGGTAAGATATCAGTTATCGTTCTTATAACATGTTATCAAATTACAATGAATAAAAGAGTTAAAACTAATATCATGCTATAACGAAACGAATAGATTCTACATGTTATTCAGATTTCTCCGAGATTACTAACAACGTTTTATGTAAATTATAAGAAGTAAAATTATTTTTTTCCTTTCTCACCACCGAAGTTTTCACATATACATGTCTCAAAATGTAACGGAGTGAGATATCACACCGCTACAACCAGGTTTAAACAAAGAAATAACTTATTAAACTGTAACAACACTTGGAAAAAAAATGTTAGCACTTTCCAAAAATACAGTTAATAAACACGTGCCTGGTCAGGACTTTATACTAATGTTAATGAACAATAAAATATCAGTATTAATTATTTCAGATAATGGAATCAGGAAAAAAAAACGAAGAAAAAGCTAATTCTAAAATAACAACCTTCAATATTCGGAAATCACTTATCTATTTTGATAACAATATCGAGTGTCGATCAGCAATAATTCACTAACTATATCGCGACTGAGTTTATGAAGCTTATGGCAAGGTATTTATTCATTCCATTAGGTCACGAGAGTATATCTCATGTGATTATAAAGTTACATAATCTTGTGCAACATTAACGATATCTGTATGTCAACGCTAGGGAAACTGGTGTCAATTTCATAATACATATTTACTCAAACTAAAAGTGATCAACTAGAAATTGAGTTAGCGTTTTAATGTAACTAAAAATTCATATCTAAACTAACCGATAGAAGGAATAATAAATGAACGATAAACAAATCCATACCCAAATAAAAATAGAATTCGCTATCTTACAAAACGACTAATATCGGTTTTAGGCCTTCATTACCTGAACGTTATTTTCTTAAATTAACGGCAACCTCATCAAGACCAGTAACTTAAGTAAAATATTCTACGTTTAGCCTGTAAAAATTATTAATTGTAGAAATGATCACAAACACGTCACTAAAATTACATTTATCCTAATGAAGGCTTTTTTTTTAAATCGTTATTATGACTTAGATCGACGATAGGTTTGTTTTATTGCAAAGCCACGTTGGTCTATCTGTCGTATCCACTGTGGGGAATCGAACTTTTAGCATTGTAAGTCCATAAACGTACTGCTGACTCACCGGGGGGGGGTACCATTACCACATTTAATTAATTAGATACTAGTAGTTGTTAGTGTTTTCTTCACATATTCTATAAATGGTGCGAAATCAATACATAAACAGGTATTCTTGTTTATTAAACCCATTAACTGTTTATAAAAATTAATGTAATTCTTACACAAATATTTGCTATAATACTTTAAGATATAAAACTCATTATACATTTATATTTTATTCGGTGAGAATTAACCATCAAGATATATTTTCATCATTCAATCAAACCATACAGATTTTGTTGTTAAGCGCAAAGCTACACATGAGCTAGGAGCTGTGCCCACCGTGATTATCAATACCAGACTTTTAGCATGAGAAGCCTTCAGACCCGACCTTGAACCATTTTGGGCCCTGTCATACACCCTATAGAAATCTATTGGGAACTAATGAGTTGATAATATTGAAAGGAATGAAAATATTTGTCATTCAATATTGAGTGGTTAAATCACACAAGACAACCTACTGTTATATGTATAATTTACAATTTTTTTACGGAATTTATTTCGTAAGATAACGCAATAGCAGAATGGTATGTTATCTAACAATTAACCAACAGATGGCAGTTGCAAATACTTTTTATTTTATAATAAACAAAATGCTTAATATACCTTAAAGAAAACGTATTCTAGTTTCGTTGTATATAAGTGGAACCAAAAAAATTGTTTAGATGATTATAAATCAATTTAGTTTTTTTAAAAATCAAAACAAGATAAAACTTGGTGAGTTTAAGTGAAATGACGGATTTTTCGAGATATTTTAAATGTCATAATCTCTTTGGAATAATAACAGACATATTGTTCATTTGTTGCTAATCACAAACCCGCATGAAGGGTTATACTTGCTTTGCTCCTCCATTGAAATAAAATCTCGAACTTGAGGTTATAAACCATCAGGTTTGTCCCCCGGTGGGACAGCAGTAAGTCTTCGGATTTACAATGCTAAAATGAGGGGTTCGATTCTTCTCGTGGACAGGTTTACCGTTTGTTGTTTCGTATTTGAAAATTGTCGAACATTGTGAGATATTAAGCAAAATTTTTAATTTATTTTAGAAGAATTAAATCAGTTGATTGTCTCGGACTTACGACTGCTATATTAGAAAATGTCCAACTTATTAAAGAAAGTAACTGTACTTAATCGTTTTGGTTTTAAGTAAAATAATTTATTTATTTTTATTCTTAGATTAAAACATATATGAAAAGGCTTCTATAAAAAATAATCTTTTCAATCAAAATTTTAAGAAATAAGTTTTGGTGATCATTGGTAAATATCTTTTTTTATGTTGACAGAAGGGTTAAATTTAAGTCTTCTCAAAAACTCCATTATTTCAATTATATTCTCAAGTGTTATTAATCCTGGTTATATTTAGCGGATCTTCGTTGAACTTGATATCCTTTTACCACAGAATCAACTAAGAAAAGGTTTTTCGAATGATTATCACATCACTTAAAATCCCACGCCTAGTCACATTTGTCAAAAATTTTAATATTTCTAGAACTGACTATCTTTATTCTACAAAGATCAACTTGAAAAAGCCTTGGGATTTTGTGCATAAAACTTAATCTTTGAAACTTATTTCCTTTAGCCACAAAGCTGAACTTAATTAAAGCTTTTGAAAAATTTGTGTTTCATTTAACTTCATAAGAGGTCCAAACATGGCTTATCAGTTAGCCTGAATCCTGTAAATCGGAAGGTTCATAGTTCGTGGTCCATTGCCTAAAAATGCGCTCCGCAAGTTTGGGCTGTGGATAAGCTATAAGAATAATCCTCACACCCCACTATTCAGCTAAATAAAAGTAACCCAGAAATTGTTGTTAGGCGCTGTTAACTTAGCCATCTTTCCTTTAGTTCATCAATCCAAAAATGTTGTAACTTTGCACTAATATTCTGGAACAAATGAATGAAAATCTTCCTAGTATCAGAGTGGGAGAAGATTTTGACAAATTTTATATTTGTTATTATTTTACCAGAAAGATGAAATAAATCGGAGGTAACTGAAAAAAAAAATCATTATTTCACGTATATTCCATGAGTTTAAGTTTTGATGATATTTGGACGAAAGTTTGGACACTTTCGAATTTATATTTATGCTGTCCGATGGGTTAAATTATGTTCGGATTCCTGATGATTCCATTACTTCAACTATATTCTCAATCGTTAAATCTTCTTGTTTTTCGCAGTAATTGTAATCTTCTTTGAATTCGATTTTCATTTTATAGAAAGGCCAAGTAAGAAACATTTTCTAGAAAAATAGATAATTTCAACTAAAATATCTTCGGCATGTTTAGTGTAATTTTAACCTGCTTTGAATATAATTTTATACTGACAGAAAGATAAATTTAGTAAGGAGTTTTGAAAACTAAGTGTTCTAATTTCCCTTAAAATTTCAAAGAGTATGCCTTGGAAATCTTTGTAGAAAAATTTAACACCTTGGTATTTGTTTATGTTTGAACGGAAAAGTTAAGTAAATCAGAGCTTATCCTCTGTTTTTAGTAAAATCCAAAAGATTAGTCTGTACATTGGACTAGCTGTACTCTGCCCACCACGGGTATCGAAAACCTGGTTTCTAGCGTTGTACATATCGCTATGCCACTGGGGGAAAAGAAAGTAAATAAACTTTAAATTGTAAGAACTGGACCAATAAAAAAAATGCCTAATTATGAAACATTCACACGAATGCAGTTTTTTTTATTGGTATTAATATTAAGTCATTAGAAACCTTTACGTCTGAGCTACTTATTATTATTTCGTTTAGTTTTTCATCAAATTTATTATAGTTTTTGATTTGTCATAGCTTGTTTTTATGCAAATTCGGAATCTCAGATTGAAGTAAAGAGCTGAGATAAAAAAGTAACGTCAGTGAAAACGTTACAGAAATAAGAAATGCTAATTTTAGGCTTCTCCACATTTCCTACATATTTTGATTGAGACACGGGACGCTTTGTTTGTTGTAAAGCACAAAGCTACGCATGGGCTACCTGTGCTCTTCTCACCGCAGGTATCGAAATCAGAATTTTAGCGCTATGAGCCCTTTGACTTACCGTTGAATCACGGGGTGGCGACTTGGAAGGTAATGTAATTTATATTTAATATCACTGAGTTTATACCTCTAGATATTTCTGATATTTCAAGCAGTGGTCCCTAAAATATTTTGTGTATTTATCCTACGAAAAAAAAGCTGCAAAACAAACAAATTATAATACGAGTACGTTTATTCAGAATTTTCTTATGAGCCATTGTTTTACCGAAAGTCTTATGCACTCTTGCTGGATTTTATTTGATACTTCATTTTTCAGCATGGATTTCGGCTAAAACGTATATTGTCGACAGCAACAGTTCCTACACCGTAGTACTCATCTGTTCTTCCAGTAATAAAAAACTGAAAAAAAAAGTAAATAACATATGTAATAAAACTTGTACATTCAAAGAAGGTTTGAGAGCACTGTACAACTAAACTAGTAAGTGAAATTATCAGCATAACAACATATTTTCGAATATCTAATTTCAGACACACATTAAAGCCAAATAAAGCATGACGTTCGAAGGTTCAATCTGGAGGAATTTAAAATCATTGATATTGAAACATTCATTCTATTAAACAGAGGGTGAAAACTATACGAATATGCTGGATTAAATAGTTTGTTTATGTATTAGATTTTTTTTTCTTAATCCGCATCCCACCAAACATGCTCGCCCTTTCAGCCGTGGGGGCGTTATAATGTGACGGTCAATCTCACTATTCGTTGGTAAAAGAGTAGCCCAAGAGTTGGCGGTGGGTGGTGATGACTA